CCCCCCGAGTAGCTGGGACTACAGGCGTGCGCCACCATGCCCAGCTAATGTTTTGTGTTTTTAGTAGAGACGGGGTTTCACCATGTTGACCAGGATGGTCTCGATCTCTTGACCTCATGATCCACCCGTCTCGGCCTCCCAAAGTGCTGGGATTACAGGCGTGAGCCACCGCGTCCGGCCTGCACATAATTTTTGTAGGTTGTTCCTAAGAATAGTTCACCAGCATTTTAAGACATCCTACTAATATTGGCAATCAGATTGAAGTAGTTCACAAATAGATGGGTTTTAGCTTGTTCAATATTGAACAAGTAAGTATTGGGCACTGTTTTCAGCACTTATAAAATGCATGTGTGCTCCAGAGCGCTGGAGCACTTGTAAAATGTAAATGAACAAACTAAAATCCCTACTCTTTACGTTAAAGTGGGGGAGGTGAAGAATTTTATTTATTTATTTATTTATTTATTTATTATTATTATTTTTTTTTTGGGACGGAGTTTCACTCTTGTTACCCAGGCTGGAGTGCAATGGCGCGATCTCGGCTCACCGCAACTTCCGCCTCCTGGGTTCAGGCAATTCTCCTGCCTCAGCCTCCTGAGTAGCTGGGATTACAGGCACGCACCACCATGCCCAGCTAATTTTTTGTATTTTTAGTAGAGACGGGGTTTCACCGTGTTGACCAGGATGGTCTCGATCTCTTGACCTCGTGATCCACCCGCCTCGGCCTCCCAAAGTGCTAGGATTACAGGCTTGAGCCACTGCGCCCGGCTATTTTATTTATTTATTAATTTTTTGAGACAGAGTTTTGCTCTTGTTGCCCAGGCTGGAGTGCAATGTTATGATCTCGGCTCACTGCAACCTTCACCTCCAGGTTCAAGCGACTCTCCTGCCTCAACCTCCTGAGTAGCTGGCATTACAAACAGGCGCCATCATGCCCTTTAATTTTGTATTTTTAGTAGAGACAGGGTTTCTCCATGTTGGTCAGGTTGGTCTCGAACTCCCAACCTTAGGTAATCTGCCTGCCTTGGCCTCCCAAAATGCTGGTATTAACAGATGTGACTTGAAGAATTTTAAAAACATCTCTTTTCGTTCAACGTTCCCCCATAATTTATCTTTCCCCTTGCTAATGGAAAATGTTACTTTGTTCTTAAATATGAGGCTTTTGTGTGTAAAATGTTTTAGAATCTGATGTTTTTGAGCAGGATTGGCAGTGGGTGGGGGGAGGAGGGATTGGAGATTGATTTGATAGAAATGTGAAGGGATAGCTTGGGGGTGGATTTTAAAATAAACTTTAGAAAAATGTAATTTAAAGCCCGGCGCGGTGGCTCAAGCCTGTAGCACTTTGGGAGGCCGAGGCGGGTGGATCACGAGGTCAAGAGATCGAGACCATCCTGGTCAACATGGTGAAACCCCGTCTCTACTAAAAATACAAAAAATTAGCTGGGCTTGGTGGTGCGTGCCTGTAATCCCAGCTACTCAGGAGGCTGAGGCAGGAGAATTGC